GGTTTTGGATTATTTCTAGATATTTTTGGTTCTTAGGTTGTGGTGAATAATGTAGTGGTTGAGGTTGTGGGTGCGGTGGATACTCGAGTTACTCAAGAGATGAATGAATCTCTGATGTATCATTATTCAGGCAAGGAGATTTAAAGCTGTTGCATTTCATATGCATCCTTCAAAATTACCGTCGTCGCCTCTTTTTTACCAACGTTTTTGGGACGTTGTTGGACATAATGTGATAGTACGTTCCTCCTTCTCAACTACTGGAAGATTAGTGAGATCAATGTGTTGTACTCATATGTTGCTTTAATTTCGAAATTCGATGCTCATCCGGATATGACGCAACTCCGACCGATGTTTGTATAAAATTGATGCAAAGGGTCGGGTTGGCGAATCACCTGAAGCTTATTTTTCCTTCCATTATATCACCCCACCAAAGTGATTTTATGCCGGGTAGGTTGATATCTCATGACACATTGGTGGCAGCTGAGATTGGGTATTTCCTGCACAATAAGCGGATAGTAATGGACGGGATTTTGGCTCTCAAGTTGGATCTCAGTTGGCCTATGATAGGGTGGAATGGGTGTTCTTAGAGGATATAATGATAAAGTTAGGGTTTAACGAGGCATGAGGTTATGGCTATATATCCAATTAATGGTTTCATTTCTCAAATTTTCATCATGCATGTTCTTTTAACAAGCCACTTGGAATGACAAGGACCGAGCAAATAAAGCGAGTTAGTTAATCAATTTTTTGATGAAAATTTTGTTAGGTTTTTTAGCTAAAATGATCTCTAAGATTGGTGTAGCTCCTCATTTTGGTCCCTGATTGATAGAAATGGTCATTGAGTTTGTTCACATTAAATTATTTTGGTCATTTCGTGAAAAATCTGTCAATATCCTTATTAAGTGGAGGGATTGATTTGACAAAAATACCCTTAAAAAGTTGGTAACATAGTCGTTCACATGACAACTTAACGACGATATTAAAATTTTTCACGAATGGGCCAAAATGAATTATGGTGGACAAACTCTATTTATTTTCATTTTCAGTAAATAAGAAATTATGTCAATGTTAGATTCTGTTTTCGCTAAAAAAGCCAATTTTTAGGTTTATATATGAATTAGTACAAGTAATAAAAGATCTTAATAGTCTGTTGCGGCAAGTCATTGCTATTATATTATGGAAGGTTTCGTGGTAGGGAAGGTTAATTAGTGTGTTGCAGCTGCATCTGTTTTTTCAAGAGCCATTTAAAGAGATTATTAAATACTTCTGCTATAAAATTCAAATGTATACTGACAACAACAATAATCAAACAATTCTCCCTTCAATATATGAAAATGAAGAACAATATCGCAACATGCACGATTGAGATTACAAGTTCCGGTATGTTTTTGCTCACGACTCTCTAAAATGATGGTGAGGCTCACAACACAATTGATTATCATTGGATGAGTTTGATTTAATCTATTTACTGTATAAATTTCGAAATTTAAACTAATCTAATTGTTATTACTAAGATGGTGAGAAAAAATACACACAAGTTCAGGTGTAATGTGGTTAGAGAATGAGTCTCGTCCAAAGAAACCGTCTCACCTAAGGTTTAAGAATTAATATTGTAATCTAATTCTGATTGTGTTCTTAATTTGTAGAAATCTTTACTTGTACGTCAAGTATATACGATTATAGAATAATGTTTTTGCCTATGAATACAATTATCAAGTTTATAATTTTTCTATAATGGAGATTTTCAGCATTAAACATTGGTTAATATTCTTTTAGAAAACTGGTTTCATTTCATATTTTATATACACACACACACACACACACATACATACATAGATATATATGGGATAGTTATATAGTTAGCTAGAAAATGCATATTAAGGCATGCAGGGACGTTGATAGCGAGCGTGTGGTTTTTAATATAGTGGGGAGAGAGAGAGAGAGAGATAGAGAGAGAGAGAGAGAAACCTAGAAGCTAAAGGCCACAAAATGGAGAAGCCCAAGCAGAACAACTGTAGGAGGTTCCCAAATTTCAATAAAAAAAATTTCGAAATCGAACTTTCCCAAATAAATTTTGGAATCAATGTTATCTCAAAAATTTCGGAACAAGATTCAAACTTTCTACATTTTTTTAATTTTCAAACAATGGGTGGAGAGGAGCCGTCTGGTAAAGCTTTGTGGCGTGCAAAGGTCCCGGGGAAAGTTAAAATTTGTGTTTGGCGTGGGTGTATGAATGCTTTGCCTTCGAAGGTGAATTTGAAGATTCGTCGGGTGCTTCCGGAGGACATTTGTGGGTTTTTCCATAAAGAGGCTGAAACAGTTGAGCATGCTTTGTTACAGTGCCCACGTTCAGCTGCTATTTGGTTCTGTAGTCCTTTGGGTATTCGTACGTTTCAGAGGGTTGATGAAGGTTTCAGTGGATGGTTGATTAACATGGCAAAACAAGTTACTTTGGAAAGTTTTGAATTGCTTCTTGTGTTAGTGTGGAGTGTCTGGAAGGTTCACAATGATGTGTTATGGACTGGAGTTGATTTTTCTCCACTGGATGTCCAACTCAAAGCTCAAACATGGTTATCAGAATTCAAGAAATGGAATGTAGCTCCAATGCCTGCAGAATCAGTTCGTGATCTTAAATGGAAACATCCAGATTTTGGGTGGATAAAGTGTAATTTTGATGCGGCTTGGGAGGAGAATGGTGAATGCGGAGGATTTGGGGTTGTAGTTCGAAATGCAACATGGGGTTTCATGGCCGCTATGGCGGGTAGGGAGTATGGAATTGGCTTGGCTATGCATGCTGAAGCTGTTGCGGCACGGACAGTAGCACTGTTTTTGCAGCAATGGAGGACGGCCCAGGTCCAGTTAGAAGGTGATGCTTTATTAGTGGTTACTGCTATTCAGAATGCAGGTTCGGCATTAAATGGTCATCTGGGGAACCTGTTTGCTGACACAAGACGAATTCTGCAACAATTTGAGCATTGGAAGGTATCCTTTGGACCTAGAGAGTCGAATAAAGTGGCACATTGTCTTGCAAGGTGGAGTCTTACGCTGGATCATCCACTTTCCTGATTCGAAGAACCTCCTGATATTATTAATGATTTGTTAATTGAGGATAATCTTCATATTTAATTGGTGTGGGACACTCTTTTTTCCTTCGATCAGGTTGAAACCCGGACAAGATTTTTATTGAGACCCATTGTTAGCACCCTATCCTCTTTATGTACGTAATTCTCCTTTCAATGATTATCGTACTTTCTCAAAAAAAAAAAAAGTTATTTTTTGTCTACTTTTATATCTCAAACACCATCCATCATATTACATATTATACATAGATCTTTTTTTTTGGGAAACCTTGACGGTACGAGGGTAATTTTATTGATAACAAAAAAATAAGTTACACCTAGTCAGGGGGGACATAAATCTTACCCCTCAAAAAACAGAGACAACAAAAAGAAATACACTAAAAAGAAGGGGGGACATAAATCTTACCCTTCTAGAAACAAAAAACGAGAATGATACAAAGAAAAAAGGGAGGGGGGGACATGAAACCTAACCCCTCTAGAACCAAACATGAAAGTCTAAACCTGCAAAACAAGCCAAACAACACCATAAAGTTAGGAGAAAAAAAAAAGTGAGATAAACCTGGATGCCGACATGCACATTAATTTGAGAAACGGTAACCAGACAAGCCAACATAGTCAAAAGATAGAGCAACATGAACTACCATCGAAGGAGAATCATGCCATGTTAAAGATGGACAAGACAAGCCCATGTTAGCAAAATTGTCCGCAACAAGATTTCCTTCGCGATATATGTGAGATGCGTAGAAAGTCATTTTCCGAATGCGATCCAAACAAATAGACCATTGCGTATGAAGAGGCCAAGGAGGATCAAAATCAGATGATTGAAGAGCAGAAATAACACTAGAACTATCACTTTCCAACCAAAGACAATGCCAACCCAGCTAATAAGCAAACTTAATACCAATAATAATTGCTGATAACTCTGCAAAAAAAGAGTTGCGATGACCAATCTGTTGACAGAAACCTCCAAGAAAACGACCATGGCAATTCCTGAAAACTCCTCCACATGCAGCATAATCGGGATTTCCTTTAGACAAACCATTTGTATTAAGCTTAACCTAAGGAAACCAAGGGGGAGACCAAAGGACAGAAAGAATAGTAGGTGCCTTGCGAGGGATAAGTTGGATCCCCAAAGAAGAAATGACCCGAGTGTCAAAACCCTGAGAATAACCAGGAATAAACTTCTCACCATGAACAGTCGCCGAATTGATGGACATGCAAAGACGATGAAAATAGATTGGACGACCCTCAAAAATAAATTTATTTCGAACCTTCCAAATAGCTGAAATAGTAGAAAGACCCGCAAAAATCCATAGATTGTGCAACTGTTTGGAAAATGGCTTACGGACATATACATCCCAAAAAGCAACCAAAGAATCTAGAAGAGGCAAAGATGTACCAAATTAACATGTTAACCACCTCCAAAGTTGCCTAGATATTCGACATCCAAAGAAAAGATGATTAATAGATTCTTCAGAATTACGACATAAACAAATGGATACCAAAAAAATACCACGTCGTTGTAGCGCATCTTCTGTAGGAAGTTTATCATGAAAAAGCCTCCAAGCCAAAATAGATTGTCGTGGTGGAATAAAATGTTTCCAGATAACCTTAGCCCAATCACAATCACTATGTCTCCTTCGAATAAGGTGTTAACCAGAAGAAAAAGAAAACTTCCCAGTAGGTGAGGGCTCCCAAATCAATTTGTCATCCTCAACATTTAAAGGCAAAGGCAGACTTAAAATCTGTTGCACAATTGAAGGGAATAAATTTGTAAAATAATCTGGCAAAGACCAACTTTGTGCTTCAATAACATCTGAAACCCGAGGAAGAACCTTAGGTGAAAAGACCGAAAATAAAGTAGGGCTAATAATGGGCTCATCCAACCATTTATCAAACCAAAAGGAAACTGACCCCCCATTACTAATAATCCAACGATTATTATTATTCAAAATAGGCAAAGCACGCTTCAAATCATGCCACACAGAAGATCGTAAATAGATGTTTTGATTTCTGTAAGGCGAAAGAGGAAAACGCTGACGAGCAAAAGAACCCCACAGAGAATAGGATTGTAAAGCATCCCATCCAAAACTAAGCGAAGCCGTCAAATTCAAAGAAGCTAAATCACAAAGACCAAGCCCACCTTCTTTTTTAGGTACAATAACTAATACATATGCTAATTAGCTTATAACAATGCATTATTGGATTGGGATTGAGATTGGGGTTGAGAATGAGATTGAGACTGAGACAAGTCGGCTCGCTGTAGGCGTTTTTTCCTGTATCTCCATGCTACTTGAATGCATCTTGCTGCAAGGCCTCTCCAGTAAGGTGACTCATACCTGCCATAAAAACCAAACTTCAAAATCAATGTTCTGTCGTAAACCATTCCCACATGCATCCTAAACGATTTCTTGCAGACCATGTATGCATGTGTCACCAGTCTTCAATCGTGTGTGCATACATGAGATATGAATAGCTTTAATAAAATAAACCTTATGGCTCCTTGAACACGTGGTTTGCGCAAGAATCTGGAGAAAACACTGGTGACTTCTTCAATGTCAGCTGCTCGGAGTGAAAATGCTTCAACGTTTGTTGAGCATCTTACCATCCTGTTGCTAAGCAACCGCTGTCCGGGAATCCTGATCTTTTTACCATCTGCAACAGAAACCACACTGATAAATTGATGTTGTTTTTTTAAATTTTTGAAGAATGCTCAAGACTTGTACCTTTGTTTACTGAAGAATGCTCAAGACACCATGCGAGAAGTTCCTCACCACAAACGTCTCCTTCAGATAAAGAAATTCTATTCCCATCTTCTCCAATGCTCTCCATTTTTCCCCTCACTATAAAAACCATCTTCTCGATGAGACCACCACGGGACAAAACTATACTTCTGTTGATGTATGTCTTTTGCCTTAATCTTCCACAAATGGAATCTAAGATGGGTTCATCCATCAGGGCAAAAATTCGTACCTGCAGAATTTTCGGAATTTAGAACATGCATTATGAGTTAAAATGCGCCAAGCTGATAAATTTGAACCTTAATCAAATAATAATTCTAAGGAAAAATGAAGACCATCATTTAGGCAGTAAGCAGAAATCCGATCATTATAAATTTATTATTCCGTGATACTAAGATGCTCACTTTCTTAATGAACGTGAAGAGATGGCGTCTTATATCCGTCTGAAGGTCTTCAGGCAGGACTTCCAAAAGCATTTCTTCATTTACTCCTCTGGTTGCTGCCCAATTGTACCGCTCAGCTTCTCGTACTCGCCTTCAGAGCACAATACATGAGGCTTTATTAATAAAATTTTAACATCATAGACTTATCGATTTAAGAAGGGATTCTTCTTTTCATAAAGCATTAATTTATTTCTTTTACAATGGATAGTAAAACCTCATGCATAAGGAAATTCAAATGTCAAAATGACGTTATGAATACATCATACCTTCTAAGTTCCTCTGGTAAGCGCCTATGGCTCATCCACTGCTCAACATCACGACGTCTCAGGGACATTTCTAACTGTCTGTACAGAGAAAGAGAGTTTCCTTTTCTTAAAACATAGCATAAGCAACATGGAAAACTAACTGGCGTTTTCTATTGCTCTATTTCTTTGAGATTTAATCAAAAGAATGAATCACATCATGGTTGCAGGTGACAAGCGAATGCTCATGGTATTTATAATTCAATTAGTAGACATAACTTCTAACTTTGAATTTCAGACAAACAGGAGAGAGTTACTAACATTTATACAGCTGGACATGTACTCAGTAAAATATGCTACGATCGTGACTCTAAATGTAGGAATATTTAAGAAGAATAAATCCTAGAATAAAAGTTGTACCTCCGGCCAAGAGCCTGCAGAAAGTTCTGCATATTTCCAATAAGAAGAGCGAAAAGCAAGAGACCTAGGCCAATGATGGCCATTGTAAAAAGGACTTCCCAAACAAAATAGCTTGGAACTTGATTTCCAGCCAGGGTGCTGATTTGCTGCATAATGTAAATCACATGGTTAATTTCAATCAGCTTTGTAATGAGACCATACCAAAACAACCCTTACGCCAGGAGATAATGGAACGTAAATTTATTATTCAGTTAAGCACTGATGTCATCAACTTTGAGCTTTCATTTCAGAATAATAAGATTCAGAACCAACTCAGTTTAGCTTTGAACTAGGTGGGACAATGCAGATAAGAGTCAAGTTTGTACCCCCTACAGTATAAGTTTTTGGGGTAGAATGGTAGTCAATCGCAAGACTGTGATGGACTATTAACTTAACTGAGTATAAAGTAAGAATTAAACAGTTATTTGAAATGATTCGGCCAAAAGAAGGGACAAATGAAAGCGATACCTGGAATCCCCAAAATAATCCATACACATATCTAGTGACTATACTATTTTCTGTTGTAAGATTGACAGCTTGGACGTAAATTCCGTAATCAAAGCCATCTGCAGTTAAACAAGCAGTAACATTCACATTGTTTCTCCAGCTATCACGTGATGGATCATCTGCTTTAGAATCTTCAGTTTGACTTCCATGCCCACAATCTAGGAAGTCCATACACTCAGCAATTGCAGAGTTATGGCAGGCCTCTCGAAAACATTGATTAACCCTCTGGGACAAGAAAGAGGGGAAGTAAGTGGGTGAATGAAAACCAACCTTCAGTCCGATATCCAATAGAATTCACTGCCTCTACATTATTTAAAACTCATGATGTTATTTATTACAATAGTGAAAAAAAAGAACTATCAAATCAAATCATAATATTGCAAGTTTAAGCAAACAGATAAAGACGCAATTTTTCACATTTTCGCAGGCCTGAAAAGTTTCGATTGACTTAAGATAGTATGCAGGAAGAACTTATCAGATATTTCACTGTTTGACAAAGAGGTGAGAAGAGATTGTATATGAATCTTGAGTAGTTCTGGACATACAAAATGAAGACACACGAGGAACATAAAAATGTCTATCTCGGGAAACTTCAAGAGTTAAGAATAAAATCTTTTCCACCCACCTGTAGCCCAAAGAGGTACCAGCACGATCCAACAACGTGGCCAGACAACACAAAAGTGAGAAGATTTATTATAAAATTTGCCCATGCTGACTCAAATATGAAGCCACTTGGAGTCTGACCAGCAAGAAACGGTAGAAACCTAAACAACCTGGGAATATACTGAAGAAGAACTGCAGCACGTAAAAGATTTTTTGCATGGTTTGCTCCTGTTAATCCCAAGGTGTTTCGTAGAACTAACAGTATTATGATCTGCAAACAATTGAAAGAACAACTTAGCACATGGGAAGAAAATATGTGCTTACATCAGACTGAACAAGTTACAATGTCATGTTAGCGTACAAATAGATATATTGACTGATTCACGTAATTTAGGGGATTGAGAGGGCAGCAGGCACGGGTGATCACCCTCCCTCGGCAAAGCCACTGAAAAACAGTTTTCTTCCATGGCAAAAAGCAATATACCATCAAGCACTTGTTAGCATGTCAGAATCGCAAATTGCATCTGCCTTAAATCCTTCTTTCAATCTTTTTTTTTTTTTTTTTTTTTTTTTTTTCTCCATTTAGCCATTGGATTTTCCTTACCAAACACTAATTTTTATTCAGTGTCTAATCTAAGAGATAATTTATGAAAGAATTGTTTTTTATTGATATTCAACAATACTATAAAATTGTATCATTCCATGAATTAAAAACATGAGAAACTTGCTTGAAGTATAAAATGGATGAAACAAAAAAATTTCCAATACAGCGAAGGAAACCAAGAATACAGAATATGGCGCGCATGTGTGTGTGCGTGAGAGAAAGACATGTTTACCTGAGGCAGCGGTAATACAATAAAAAGGTCTAGTAGAAAATATCCTTGAAGGTAATTCAAAGCGATTTTCTTCGGATGGTCAACTAACTCGCCAGCACCAACCACCCTAGACTCAGGAGCCACATAAGCCAATCTAAACTGCAGAGAGAGGGAGAAAGAGGGAGAGAGAGCGAGAGAGAGGGATTCATTTGTCTGTCAAGGCTTGAAACTAATCAACTTATCTCATCCATAATTTATTTAACTTCTAAAATGAGATATGGATGGATGAGAGGGAAGGAAATCTTACCTGAAGGAGTATGTGCAGTAGGAATATGAAATCAGTGATGCTTCTAAATACCACAAGTGTTGTCGTCAAGGGCCAATCAATAACTATACAGCTATTCTCCTGCATTCAAAGATTGGGAAATCAGGTTCAAAAGGAAGCAATGTCACAACGAAATGATCCAAAAAAGTTCTCTTCTTCTCCATAGAAAGCCTTACAAATAAACAACTACAATGTGTAAATTGGAAAACCAAACTAGTCCTCGGTCAACTGATAATTCCAATCTAATTCATGAAATGACAAGGAAGAACCCAAGAAATACCTTTTCAACGGACAGCAGGAAGAAAAACAACGGATCTACAAAAATTGATATTAAGCAAGAAATGACGAAAAACTTGTTCCACTGTTGCACAAATTTAGCATGAGGGTTCATAACTCCAGGAATATATGGACGCAGAAAAGAGAAAAATCTCCTTGCCCAGCCTTTGGCATCCCCATACAGAGCATTATGGAACTGCACACAGTTGAGAATAAAGGAACTACGCATAAGTTTCTTGGAGTGCTTATATCTTGTCATTCCAAAAAATAAAAGAAATAGGGAAGCGACGATGAGAATATATTAATAAAGTACAAATCGTTGCTAAATCTCAAGCAATAGTCATATCAGTGAAACAAAAAAGGCAACACAAGAAAGAAACAGGATATGCAATGCAGCTTGAGAGGAATTGTTGCTTTGTAATTGCTTTTGCATACAGAGAATGTAAGTACAGATATTATTTCCATTCTCTCCAGAGTCTCCATGGCTATTAATTGCATTGTTAAAATAACAGATCAAATGATAAGCAAACATGAATGAATGTAGTTGCTTCTTCTTTGTAACTGAGAAGAAGAGACAGGCAAGCTCCTAATCATTTGACAGGATTAGACGCAAAACTCGACGTATTAACTAAGTGGCAATCATGCAGAGCATATAAAAAAAGACAGCACCTAAATTTCTACAAATATTGTACACAAATTAAAAGAAAAAAAAAAAACCTCTGATTAGAGAGTGAAAAACACCTTGGGATCAAATATATCTGAGGCCCTTCGATGTTTCGCTTGAGCAGCCTTGAGATTGAATGTTGGGCAAGTTGTGCAGTAAGGATCATTGCACAGCCCCAGTTGGCCAGATCTCAGCAAGTGTTCATTTTTACCCACATAGTTTTCACCCGCCCATTCAGTCTCAGTTGTTGCATTGGTAGAAGGAAACTTTTCTCCTGCAGGTTCCACCGCTTCTTGCCCTGCTGTTGGAGCTTGAACTGGCCGGAAAATGCTATCAGGCCTGCGGTTAGCATATAATGGACCGCTCATAGGTACGAAAAGAGTTTTGCTTTGACTCCTTAATGGACCAGTATGACCTACAAGTCTTGGTTTCCCTTCATATGACGAGTCCATAGAGCTCATAGGGATGGAAACTGATGCACTTCGGGTTCGGGACATAAATTTGTCGAGTTTTAGCTGCACATTATCGTCTGAGTCTTGCGGGTGAGTGTCTGATAGCATGGGTACCTCATCTTTATCATAACCAGCCATTTCTCACAAATTGAACCTAAAAACGAAGAAGCCAAAATAAAATTATACTACATAGGTATTCATACCAGTTCAATTAAATTACTTTCGAGTAGAATTACAATACAATTAGTACAATGTTTGAAGTACATTAGTGATCATGCTAGTTAGCTCCATTTAAGTTCAAAAAGTTGTTATTTTTCTTTGTTTTCTGCAGGGAACAAAGCTTAAATGTATCAAAGAACACCATAAGACAAATTCTGTTGCAAATTACTACTTCCAAATTTTTAATTTCTAGTTTCAAGGCATCAATTTGCAGTTTTAATTAGAAAAAACAAAAGAATATAAAGAGGAAAGGGCATACATTATAATCCATCGGAGTTCAATAAATCCTTAAATAAAAGGTGTGAAATTTACCTGAATAATTCGAAAGAGAAGCAGAGCTCAACAGGGGTTGCACCAGAGACCCAAGAATATTAACTCTTGTGATCATCAATTAGCCAACAAATTAAATAAAGATACATTCTCATCACAAGGAAAGAGAGAGAGAGCGAGAGAGAGAGAGAGAGAGAGAGAGAGAGAGGGGCCGGCGAAGACTAAAAGAGCTGACTAAGAACTTGGGGACTAAACAAAAGAGGGAAGCTTGGAAATTCCAAGGGAAACGTAGGAAAGGGGTGTTTGACTGTTTGTGATTGGATTTGGGGAGATTGAAGTTTCCTGGAGCAAGGAGGGGGGACCGGACACAATAATCTAACGACTACCGAACAAGACAATCCAATGTCTGTCCGTCCTCCTTGTTTACTTTTATTCTTGTGGACTTTGGTAGGCGGGTGTTGGTTTGACAGGTAACACCCTCTCCGGTTAACTCGTCTCTTGACAAAAACTTTACACACACAAAAGAAAAAGAAAAAGGAAAGAAAAACAAAGAAGCTTGTTCGCTTGCTGCATCATTATTTGTTTTTTGCTGCATATTCATTTGTTTAATATTAAATTTACTGTTGATATCTACGACCACAGGACATCGTCTTGGGATAAAATTTAGAAACTTTTATACTTTAATACATGATGATGTAAATACCCGAGGAGGGTAGGAGCTGAACTGACCTCCATCCCCTAGGCACTTGGAATTCCAAGGTTGATGTAATAAGCCTGTGGTCCTACAGATAATATTCCAAATTAATTATTCGCAAATCGCAAGCATCACACCCTTTGGGAGTGACCCAGCCATGCTGGTACCATTACCAAACATATTTACCACTAATTAATTGGAAGTTATGATATTTCTTTTTCAGAAATTTACTTGAAATTTCATACCTTATAGTAATACTCATTCTATGTTCAACTTGATAGTTCTTGGATATAAAGAGGTAATTTCATACATTTCAAAATTCATCCAACAACAAAAAATTAGTATAGCTTTTAAATAGTCAAAACAAGTGGGCACTTAGATGAAATTTGAAATGCCCGATCACTAGATCCGGTAGCCTTAATGAAAGAGATCCATGGAGGATCTCTTTCCGTAATTTTATTGTTTTTACCAAGTTTGTTAGTTAAGAATAAATTGTAGCAAGAACTTTTTTGAGTGTTCACTTGTAATTTACTTGGACTTACATGAGAAATTCTGTCTGCACTGGATACTTATTTGGGCCTATACCCGCTTAGATTTGGGCCAAACTTCTGTCTAGCTATATTTTTTGCTACTCTGCTCATTTCATAAAGTATTCTACCGGGTTTAACGACAGCTATATTCGTTGTCCAATTAATGAAACATAAGTACCTCTAACTACAAGATTACTACAAGGGAAATTCTCCTTTACGCATTGTTTTTCACAAGTAAGCAGTTGAGATTTAACCAAATGAGCTTTGGTTTTGTATTGCATTTGCCACTGCATGAGTTTAGATCCCGTCGGATCCCTAATGTTATCTAATCTAACAAATATATTATTTGACAAAAAAAATAAAAAAATAAAACTTTCTTTCTACGGTGCAAGTGGAATTTGACAAGATCAAAATTTGCGGAATGTTTATATATAATTATGTATTGCCAACGTGAGTTCCCTTCCGTGGTCACATTAATATTAATTAGTGTGTTTGAGAAAACCAATTCCATTACTCGTAGAGAGAGGAGTACGTTGGAATATTTCAATTGGCTTTAGCTACTTATACCTTTTTTAATACTTGCATTCCCATTTGGAGAAATAAACTCATTCTTTCACTTGCAAATAACGTATATTCACCGTAAAAATTTTGTAACCAAACCGTCCAATATCTTAATTTTTACTTGAAGATTATCCCTACAAAAAATCATTTATATTCGAAATCGTTTAGTTGTTTAGATGTACCAAATAAGTTCATAGTGTAGGTACCAAACAGAATATTCGTGATAAACCGTCTAATTATTTGATACATTTGGACAACTAAAAATTTCTAATTCGAATGTTTTTTTTGTAGAAATAATCTTCAAATGAAGGTTAAGATATTGGACAATTATGATTATAAAATTTCTACAACAAAAATACACATTATTTGCAAGTTGAAAAAAATGCAAGTATTATTCTTTTAATATTGTGTACGTCGTTTGACCAGATTTTCCCTCCTCCTAACAACTCTTGTTCTTTTTGGTACTAGTTTAACTCCTTTCCTCTACATCTTCCTCATTTTATAAATAAGTATATTTTATATACCTAACAGATAGACCTTTATTAAATAAAGGCAGTCCACTTATGCAAAGGAATCTTCATTTTTTTGCAAAAAATGAGGATTAGGTGTATGGCCCACTCAACATCGAATTTCAACGATCCGAATTGTTTATTTTGTAAGTCTCGATTTATAGATCTTCCTTGCAAAAATTCAATTCAATCCAAAATCATTTGCCTATTTATTATCAAGATAAAATTTCATTGTTTCTTATATAATAAAGTATACGTTAATTTTTTTTATCCCAATTAGATGTTTTAAATATATCCGATTTGGCTAATATTTTGCAAAGATGATCTATGAGATGCAACTTAAAAAATAAACGGTTTAGATCGTTAAAGTTTGATATGGTATGGACCCCATAACTAATTCCTATTTTTATATAAAAATAGAGATCCATTAGGTATCGTTTGGTATGCAGACAGGATGGGACGAAACAGAAAGGGAGCAAAGATGCCCTCGGATGGAAACAAGGAGGAAGAAGAAGGAGATGGAACGAAAATTCACCCAAGATGGAAACACATATGCGGAACGAAAATTCACCCAAAATTCGTCCCGTGGAACAGCGCGTTCCACCCGTTTTAGGCGCACCAAACGTGGGACAGAACGCCTCGTCCCACTCCGTTCCGTCCCGTCCTACGTACCAAACGGTACCTTAAAGGCTTCCTTATTAAAGGTACCCTTAACTGGATATTCTTCGCTTCTTCTTTTTCAAGCAAAATTATATATTGTATATTGGAACACCAAATCATCCAAATCATGGGACTCAGTCAAATTATTTATGTGCTTGAAAATTCTAACATAAGTAGCTTCTAATTTCAACTGTTAAATGCATGGTTGATCCGCCTTTTTTTATTTTTGTTTTGTAGTTTTTATTTCCGGCTATCTTAGTTAATATCGATTTAATTAGTTACTGTTTGGGTTAATTACATAAACATCTTTTAAATTTTACCGTGTTTTTACAAAACTCCTTTACGTTTCAAACATTACGCTAACTCCTTAAGGTTGGCGTGAGTTGACTCCTCATTATAGTAGGATTTGATACCTTTCTTTTCTCCTTGTAATCAGGATAGGGGTTATTAGTTTTATTCTTTCCTTGTATCATATATTTACGAAGCATTCCAAATCCCTAAATTAGCACATACAAACCAAGGTTGTTGCTGGGAATGAGTTGGGGAAAGGGTAGATGGGGATTGTCTGTGGGTCCGCAGTGAAAAAACTAAGGGAAGTTAGATGTTTGGATTCAAGGGAGGAGAAGATGTGAGATTCTGTCAAATTTTTTAGTTTGTTTTAATGTTTTATTAATTTTTAATTTGATTTCCTTTTCTTTTTATTTATAAAGGTTTTTGTTTTCATTTTGTTTGTAAGTAATTATAAGGGTAGATTTGTCCTATTAAGATGATTTTTTTACCAAAAGGGATTATGTGAAACTAAATTAAAACTTGAAGGAGTATTAGTGTAGTATTTCAAACGTGAGAAAGTTTTATAAAAACACAATAAACCTGCGGAGTGTTACTATAATTAACTCATTGAAAACACCTATACGTGCATGCATGTTTTAGTGTACAAAGCTTAATTTTCATCAAAATTTCTAACGAACAAAAGAAATGCCAAAAAATGCAATATTAGGATAATCGACCATATGAAAAAACGCGATATGGTCAGTGGCTTATTGCAAAAAGAAATGGTACAAATTAATATTAAATTTGAATCCAAGACCAGTTCAATTAAGTTGTAATTACAACCAAGTCTTTAGCTGCTTCTAAAATGATCCAAGTCTTTACCTGCTTCTAAAAATTAATACAAGTCTTTACCTGCTTCAATTAATTATCTACAGGGAAAATCCAAGACCAGTTCATCATCAGTCTCTCTTGCTAATCTATAAATAGACAAGTGTCCCCATACATAATTTTCATCCTTCTCAAAGCAACTGATCATCTAGTTAAGTACAAGTTCCAAGTCCTTGCTAATCCCCTATAGACCATAGCTAGCGATGAAGGGAGTTCATTTCCCTGTAACTGCTGCTGCCCTGTCAGTGTTAGCATTCGCCACCCTCCTTGCCTCTGCCTCTGATCCCGATCCTCTTCAGGACTTTTGCGTAGCAATTAATAACACCGATTCTGCTGGTACGTATACTTATATGTTTTAATTATGTAAAAACAATAACCTTAATTAAGATTCCATTCAGTACAGAGAGTACGTAGGAAATAGCAAGGCCTAAAGCCTGACTATATGATTTTGCATGGCTGATGGCTCATCATCCATACGTGTACAACACCTACGTACATAAAAAAGATTAATTTGCTTGTGTGTATCATTGCGAGCAGTGTTTGTGAACGGGAAGTTCTGCAAGGACCCAAAACTTGCATCAGCAAACGATTTCTTCTCTGACAAGCTACGGTACCCCGGAAACACATCGAATCCGGTCGGTTCAATAGTTACGGCGGCGAACGTGGATGTTATACCCGGACTCAACACTCTCGGCATATCCTTTGCTCGCGTAGACTTTGCGCCAAATGGCCTCAACCCTCCTCACACTCACCCTCGTGCCACGGAGATCCTCATAGTCGTTGAAGGCTCACTCTACGTCGGATTTGTCACATCCAATGGCGACGGCAATCGGCTGTTCACCAAAGTGTTGTACAAGGGAGATGTGTTCGTATTCCCAATCGGTCTCATTCACTTCCAACTCAATGTCGGAAAAACCAATGCTTTGGCCATCGCCGGTCTCAGCAGCCAGAACCCGGGAGTGATCACCATTGCGAATGCAGTCTTCGGATCCAACCCTCCCATCAACCCTGATGTTTTGGCCAAGGCATTCCAGGTGGACGATAATGTGGTTGATTATCTTCAGAAACAGTTTTGGTACAATAACAGTTAATCAAAACGACTCACAAATTATATGAAATCTAATTTTAAATAAATAAGATCATGGTTTGATTTGCTTATGTAATGATGTAACAATCTTCCTATATAGCCAGTCTCCTTCCTACTCCGAGGGATGTTTTGAGCATAATTTTAATAAAACAGTGATGTGTGTTATTTATCCCTAAATCTCTTACTTGGAAGGTTTTCTTTGTTGGTCGAGCTCTTACTTGCAGTTTGAACAATCGAAAAATGAACATAAATAAATATAATATATCATTCGATTCAACAAAATTATCATGACCACCTTCGATAAGAGCAAAAAGGCAACAAAAGAACGAACCTCACCTTATTGCCATAAGAACACCGTATCAACCAAAAGAGAAGAAAAAATTGGTTCCAGCAGCATATCCGAGGCGAACCCACATCTGCTGGGCCTGGAAAATTTATGCTCTGTCAAACCACATCTGCTCTTCCTACCAACCATCAAATACAAAAGAGAGTTTAAACTTATTGTAACACAGAGATCATGATAAAATCATTCGACACCTCAAACATAATGATCTGCTCGATTCATCCAAAACAACAAACAATCTGCTTCTCCAATCCACTTCAAACAAGCAAATGCGTTCCTCCAAACCACCTCGCCCCAAAATTGATCAGGGCACCTAAATTTCTCTTTGGGTCAGCATTTATACTACCAATTCCCACCACCACCATCTTATTAGTATGTCGTATGAGCCACTCATTTGGGTCTGATCAGAAAATACAAAAAGGAGGACGACGAAGCATGCAGCACTATTAATGTGGCCGGCTACTAACCATCTCAGCTCGGACCAGAGACACCACCATTGAGACTTGGGGCTCTTATTCTCCAATTTTCCCTTAATAATAATGGACCGGGTCACGCCACTAGCTACTCTCGTTGTTCATGCATGGAAGAAGTTTCTCCTAGCTAAGAACAAGTTTTCTCTCTTTAAGTTCAAGTAGAATAGCAGAATAAGTCAAATGCGCCTCCTAGCTAATAACGAAGTCTATTAACCAATTACATGAAATTGAAGCGGACCAAGTCATTTACAAATACACTTAAACTTGGTTCTTCATACTACCATGTCAACCAAAACGAGGCCATCCATGATGAGGTCGACTCGATCATTTTTCGAGCTCAAGCTAGGCGAACATTTTAGGTGGTTCGGTTGTAAATCACCAGCCACTTCACCATAACTAGGCTCAATCATTTTGCTCTGCCTTATATTTGATAGGCATTGTCAAAAATGGCGATGGGGGAGGAGCATGGTTGGTATGCGCCGAGCAGATGTTGGATTCGACAGCTGAAACTACCAAGTTGGATTTTGGTACTCGGTTTTCATTATCTCGGTTATATATTCTAGTTTGCAACTTTGGACAGAGCAGAATATAGGAAGGATCTGGGAATCCGAGTGGTTATCAGTCGTGATCAAGTCGGCAAGTTGTATAAATTTGTGTTTTCATGGTCAATTTTAATAGAGGTGCTCTGGACTTGTGGGTGTTGTCTTTGGGCTTCAGTCATCATCTCGTATTCTGTTTGAACAAAATCCAACAGCTTCGGATGCCAGTTGTGCCCTACAAGCATTATTTACTGCTTCTAGTATTCTGTTTGAATCAGCTTCAAATGCATCTACATCTCTAGGTACGTCAGAGATTTTGATGTAGTTAGCTGCATTGAGCTTGTTATTTATCAGTTCTTCAGTTGTACTTGGTTTTGGAAGCCTTCCCTCGAATCCGTTGGAAGAACAAGTTAAGTCTCCAGTGTTAGAGTATGAGTGTGATTCTCACAGTTTAGTAATAATCATTGTTATTTCAGATTGGTATAAAGATGTCTTAATGTGTTTATAAGAGTTAATTCAACTTTGGTTTGGATTGAAACTCTACTGTTGGCTCGAGAATAGAACTCATACTTATACAAGGATTTGGTCTTGTATTCCTTGTAGGATTGTAATAGGGCAATCTATGTTTAGTATAAAAACATAAGCCACTGCTCTCACAAAATATACGCTCAATATTGAACTAAGACCTATTGTTAGTTTGAGTACTTTTGATTTTGCAAGAGAGGAGAAGCTTGTGTGTAGATTCGTCCATGGCTTCTTCATCCATGAACATGTCTATGTTAAACTTAGAAACACGGCAGCTTTTCAAATCAATTTCATATCTCAGGCCTTACGGGAAGGCTTTGTTACATACACTACAACATACAAACTTTACAATTTACCGAGAACGCCGTTATTGAAGGAACTGTTTTTCAAAGATTTCCTCCGGACTTGCTTAAGAAGTTGAGTACAGATTATCTTGTAATGCAAAACCATAAATATGGAATCTCACCAGAGAGGCTTATGGAGAACGAGAATCTGTCGAGTTTCTTTAAGATCTTGACAACTTGTACTGATGAAGATGATAAGGTCTATGTGTCCACAGTACACGCATACAACTATCTTGTGACTGCCTTCCAATGACATCCAGAGCTGCACCATCTGTTGTCTTCTGACAGCACACATGGGAAAAAACTTCGTCAAACAGTCTGCAGGTACGTGTTGCAGATATTACTTCAGTATTTGCATATGTAGAACATATTTGATGCGTTGGTTGTGATTTAGTTGCTAAATTCTTGTGTTCTTGGCTAAGTATATTATAAAGGCTATGCTTATTCTTACATGTGGTATCAGAGCCATTGAATTTAACAACTAAATTCGATCAAAAATCATTTCCTAAAATCTGCAACATATAAAGTCTGTCTATTTGGTTTTCTGAAGAACAAGGAATGCGACGTCGTTTTGTGCGAATAATTTTTTATTAAATGACTCTTGGCTGCCCAAAAGAAAACTGGGTTCTTTAAACTATTTTTAAAAGTTTTATGACCATTATCGATTCAAAAGAAGAAAACAACCAGCGATCTTTTGATCATGTCTGCAGACATCTTCATCTTGTTTGTCTCTAGAAGATCCATGTAAGTGATCTGTTAACATCAAATCTCACCAAAATATAATTATATATTTCTGGTAACTATTGCTTCCGTTGCGTTGTTAATGATGTCTGCAACTTATGGTATTTTCTGTTTTTCTGATCTCTCTTGTATTAATAATGGTCATAAATATAGATAGATGTTCTGGGTTTTCAAACCATGATGTCGTACAATGCTTATGAAATATTTACAGACTTTATTTGCATTTTATTGACCCGCATGCTGTTTCTTTTGGTTTTTGATGTTTCAATTGAAATCGCGACTGTAACAATGGCAATGCACTTCGATAATCTGCAATGGTACGAGGTCCATAGGAATTTGGAGTGATGGCAATCCATATGGATGGGTCTCAAGCATTGATGGATAATTTATTTCGTTGATTTGGAGCCAAGGAATTGCAATCGGGTTGACGAATACGGGTCCAATGATGCATTCAGGTAACTCACTTCACTGTTACATGCATGATTAATTGTTCTCCTATATGCGTGATTATAGTTCGATGAGTTGGAGCATAATGAATTAGGGCTTTTGCTATTTCGAGTATGCTTGTTTATTTATATATATTGTGAAGGCATGATTAAACTCGAAATCCCTATAGATGCCAACTTGTGATTTATGTGAGATGTCTGGAATCATCCTTTGCTGCATAAATAAATTAGTGTATGTCTAGATATACTCTTCTATTTTTCATTAAAGAGTCAATGTGTATGCATTTTTTCATGTATGAATCTCGATACATTTAAATTGCGGGGAGCTACACATGCACATCTTAGTGTCAATTCCTGATTTTCAATTGGTTTGATTTATATCAAGTTTGGGTTGGAATGGATTTGACTGCATATCATATGCAAGTCAGGAGGTATTATAAAGCGACAAAAATAAATGCATATATAAAGTGGATGCAAATTGCTTTGTGATTTATACATAATAGCATATTTGAATGAAATCTGTATATATATGGAGATAGCATTCGTGCATAGACGTTGTAATTATGGGCATGCGTTTTTATATATATCAAATGGAACTTGCATAAGTTTCTCTGCATATTGATGCATGCATGCATACAAAAAAAAAAAAATATATATATATATGAACAGATGATGAATATAAAGGTAGATGTTTTATTGACTGCCTATAATGAGTTGTGACAATAAACTTTTAGCCATTTACAATATATATATTCTATTATGAATCGGAAAGCAAATAATTATTTTGTCATCTTATTGGAAATTCATAAGATTAATGATATGTGGCTATCGTTATTTTCTCCAAGGACTTGCTTACGAATCTGTATATAATTGATGATGGTGTTGACAATGAATTAAAGGCATGAATATTTTTTTTTTTTGGATATTGTCGTCGACTAATCTTATCATGTATATATCGATGCATGCTTTATTGCTTATTGTATATGTATATTTGTGATTTCATGATGCATGCTTCCGCTATTATATTTTGGTTGAAATCACAAATAGGGAGGAAGATGAACTTCGAGTTCTCCAGAAGAAATAGTGGTCTTGATTATCTCGTTTTAATCAAGACATGTTGTTGTGATATATATATCCAGACATTATCAAAATTTGATCGATCTTGCTCGATGGATATTGAACTAGTAGTTAGGATCAAATTGAATGCAAAAATATTGTTGCTTGCTATTCTGATTTTGATTATTGATCATTGTTGAAACTAGTGATTTTGGGATTGTGAGATCTTTTTCCGATGATGTGATTGCATAATTTTATACATAGACTTGTATTGATATAATGGTAATTGGTAAACTGAGATTATGCAATTGGTAAGGAATCGGGAATCAATTGGTTCATATCTCCGGTTTCTTTATTGGCTGTGCAGTACATTTCTGCTTATGCTTAAGTGGGAGAAGAAGAATGTAAGCATAAGGTTAATTAGGCCGGCCATTATATAATCCATTTGGATGCTTGAAAACCAGATTATGGTTTTATTGAAGCAATTGGTAATTATTTATGTTACTTAATTTGTTTAAGTAATGAGAAGTTTAGTGCTATTTGCTGGAACTAAACTTAACTTGATATAGTGGGAGCAAATCAATTTGTGTGTGTTGTTCTTAGTAAGTAAAATCACATTGTTGTAAAATTTGTGTAAATACAAATTGGATGGATCATGAATTTCATAAATTTGTTGCAATTGCGCAAATCACATTGATAAGACATTCAGTGTATTGCAATGACCATTAGTTAATACAGTTGATATTAACTTATACTTAACTTGTTTGTGTTAAGTATAGCCCAGTTAAGTGGGAGCAAATTGGTTTGGTTTTGCTATATTGGTTCACATAATTACAAAGTGCAAATTAAGTATGTTGTGACTTTTGAGTTAATTCTGCGATGTAACAGAAAAGATTCTTAAGTTCAATACTTTAAAATGCATAGGTAAGTTGTATGTGAGGTTAAGCTT